CGAGAAGAAGCGCAGGAAGACTTGAGCTGTGTTGCTGCAATAGCTGGTTACGTGAATGTGTTGGAGCTCGTCAGGTGGGGATTCTATCTGGAATTCATCCGAAGACCGTATCGACGTTACAGGACCACTTGAAAGAACTCTCAAAGCTCATCGTATACTGTGCATTTTGCCGAGGGAAAAGCAGCTTGAAGACCCTCATCACCAGCGGTTTGCGCCAAGCCTCACGTGAACATGGGAGAATATGATAGAGGGGGTTTCAACACGAGCAAGGTTTAATCCCTTCAATAAAACATCCTCAGGTGGAGGTCTCCAGGAATTGGAGGAATTGTTGGAGTCCTGTTGCCTGGAAGTGAGGGGAGACTCCCGAGACCCTCTACTGAGAAGTGGAGGGTCGGCAAGCGTGAATAGTACCATTGAGAAGTGTTGAATTGACGGACGTGAATGGCACTGTCCAGAAGTGTTGAGCGAATGCTCCGCGAATGCCCTGAATATCCGGGGAACGGGAAACGTCGTAGCAATTGAAATTGCTACGACGAAGAGAAAGACAACACGCTCAACCGCATTTGACGAGTGGTGAATCGTGGACTCATCACTTAACGCCCGTATGAAAACGTTGAAGTATGCAATGGCGATATACCGTATCGCCTAGCCCGAATAAATTCAGGGCAATGATGAGGTGGTGAAATGGCTGCGAACTCGACAAGTATTCTAATATCTTTGGCATTCAGGCTTCGCCAAAGCGATGTGACAAGTATGTATGTGTAGTAAAGGGAATACCTCGAGAAGGATGCGTAGTTTGATAGAGATCAGATGTACCATAGATTTTTTGAATGAGAAGTGCAAGTAAGTATTGAACCACACTCTTAGAATTCCCTCTTCCCTTCCTATAGCAGATATCGTGACGATAATCTGAGCCGATTTTAGGAATGTATTTTGATATTTGCAACAATTTGACTCTTTTCCAATGTGTTCATCATTTCCTTGCTTTTTACCCTCGTTCCAGGGCGAAATCACAAAAAGTATTCAGAACATTTCATGCAAGAGGCTTTTCGAGTGAATAGAAGCATGATCAACGCTTGTCAGAACCTGGTACTTGGAGGAAGAAAGTTATAAAGCATAGGAGCAAACCGGGTTGTTCCTTCCTACGTCCTCAATCCCCAGGATAGACCCCGAGAGGCGTACACGCATCGTGGACACACGGAAGCGGGAAAAGATTTTTCCCCAAACAACAAACAACCCAATCGGGGCTCCATGTAGCAGCAACAGACGGAAGCAAGCCCAGATAGGTTGCTTTCCTATATAATTTTCTCTTTTCGTTAGGGGTCTTCAAGTATAGGGGTTTGCCGGATTAGTTATCTGTTATATTCTATCATTCCGAATGTTTGAACGTTCGATATGGACCTAGGTGTGGTTGGCCTATTTCATCGTAAGCACTCCCCGTCCCCTCTTTCGACTCAACATAGCAAGAAACATTGGACAAACCCTCGCGGGCCTCCTTATAATGATGTTTATACACATGGGAATTTCGTTAGTAGATAGGGAAATTGGAGGGGAATACGAAGGGCATCACTGCTATATGCGTTATTGCAGGAGTTCAATTTGCGACTCCGTATCTGCTTTAATGTTCATTCTCTCTTTACACTCTTAAGGATCGATCCGTGAATCATAACGGCTGGGGGGAAACGAATGCTTCCCGTTTTTGACGTGACACTCCAACCAATGTTGAATGATGTACGTACATGCGCTTCAAGGTTAATATCCAGGAATGCTAACTGTTTGAGAACGAGTGCCTTCCCCGCTATGGGCAAATTTAAAATTCTATATTTGCGATGTAGGACTTAAAAGCCTTATCGTCGTCAAAACGTCACCAATGTCGCTCCATCCTCGCCACCTCCTGAAAATTCTAAATCTTACCTATCCAATAACACAGTGGGCGCTTTTGACTAGCACATTTACTCAGCAAAGTTCCCGCTTCCACCAATAGTTGCCTGCCACTTGGACAAACGAAGTGCCTCCACTTGGGAAAGCATCCCATCTAAGAAGCTATTGTCGGAAATCTCATTGTTTTTCAAGCAGATGTACTCGTACACCAAGTAGTACATTCCAAATTGATTCAGGAAATACAATAACTCTGCTTGTTGAAGAGCAAACAATTTTGATATTTGATCATGGAGAAAAATGAAAGAATGTTCACTGAATTTCTCAGGAAACATGGAAGCAAAATGAAAGTCCACTGGAACTATAACTGCAGGAGGTAAGCATTATGTTTTGAATCATACGAGATGAGAGACTCTGAAGACAATAACATTGGAGCGAGACAACGGGGAAAAGAAACATAGGGTGGATCAAAGAAGACTGGCACGTTAGACTTGACAATTTGCAAGAAAAACTTGTTCACCAACAGTTCTGAATTATTATTATTTGCTTAATATTCTGCAAGGTTTAAGTTTTATTTGCGATAGAAAAGGGGAAGTAGCTCATTGTACAAGGATTTGGGAACATTTTCTCGCAGTTGGCTCAGCTGTGAAAGCCCAATGTGTGTTTTCGATGAGTTAGGAGTCTTCCAGGAAACTCTAACAAGCACTAAATTGGCATACCGAACATTTAAAAAAAAATCCAAAATCTTCGGATGATGAGATAATTTGAATCTTTTTAGGGGTGATAAAATATCAGACCTTGAAGAATATGAAGCCACTAAACACTGAAAAATGATCAGGATAGAGGTTCCTCTTGCAAATGCCTGCTCATACAAGCCGTCCGTCCGTGCAGATGGAAATCTCATTTCGGAGTTCCTTACAGGACTTCAAAGGGAGTTTCACACTTTATGTGTCTTGCGTCCTCGTTTCAATGCTTGCGGGGGTTGGTAGACGCACGCGAGCACATGAATGTCCATATATGAGCATGTCCGCTTGTAATGTCCAAGAGCAAAAAAAGGCCTGTGAATGGAATTGGGATCAGTTCTATCCACATGGAAGCCTCGCATTTTGTGAAAACCCATAGAATATTCATTGCAAAGTAACAGTTTTTTGACGAGCTAGACTGCATACCTTTCTGTCAATTCTTCCGCATCAGAAGTCCTGTAAAACCTCGTTGATCCATCGGGTGAACCTATGGAGGAAAGAAGGAGAAAAGCTTCCGGGTACTAATTTTCCTTCACGAGAACGGAAAAGAGGAGCATGAATAACAGAATGTAATAGATTTGAGCAACTCTCACCTATTAACTCTGGTGAAAACTCCATACTGTCCAGGTCGCCTCAGAGAACAAGTCTCTTTCTGGAAAAAGTGACTCACGATTCCTTCCACCGTCCAGAAACTGTCCAGTGAGGTATTGGAGAGGAAGACCATGGGATTTCCCGAGTCCCCAGGACACACCGTTTGATAATCTGTATGGTAAGGCTTATCATCATTCTCGATATGTCCTTGAACCGTAACCAAAGTAATATAATAAGAAAGTATTAGAAGGAATTTAATTGGAATATGAAATAAACCGTAATCAGTGAATTTCATTAGATACCTCATACCTCTTTATTTTTAATATGAATTCATGAGAATACTTTATCGGTTTTAAAATCTAATATATGAGGACGATCGTGAGTGAATGGGTGAACGACGCTAATTATAACCATGTTCTGGATATCCCTATCCTCAAAATAGTGATAACTAATCTCATTTGAGAGGTGCCTCATAACTCTTAAGGGTCTATTTCAACCTTTTCATGTACCACGCAGTATGTGTAGGTGTTCTCAGAAAGAGTAACACATAATTCTTAAATAAACGCACTGAACTTTGACCTAATTATCCAAAAATATAAACTCTGATTTTGACTGATTCCCTCTGGAAAGTGGAAAATGAGGAAGTATTGCTTGATTTTTATTATCAGTGTCTTATGCGTCAACTGACTTGAGATATGGTTTTGACTTTTCAGAGAAAAAGTCATATCGCGAATTTCGGTCGATTCCTGCACAGATTTTAAAAACGATTCAACGTCCTGATCAGTTTTCAATTTTTTGTTATCAGAAATTTACTTCATTTCCAGAAAAGAGTCTAACTGAACCAGATATCTCCATAATTACTCCATGTATCCCAACCTTCAGTTTTTATTGAAGGAACTTCCTGATCAATGTCGGAAGCTATGATTCCATCAAGATATATGATTCTCAGTAAGAGTATGCTTTGCATAATTATTTTGGCGCCTAAGTGACTGATCAATTCAGTCAAAATTCACATAGCCAATGCCAGTTGTAAAGTGCTTAAGGAAAGAAGATACTAAAGTTTCTCTTCATACTGTAGCAGCACCCCAATATCAGCTGATCGTCCAATCCAAATAAGTATCGTATTTTGTGTATCTGCGCCTAATGAAGAGGATACTAAGAGATATTCACCGATCCCCATGAAACGCTTCCACATGAACACCATTTCATGAAAACTTTGAACGCCTGAGTAGAGCATTTTTATTTTCCTCTGAAATAAGCCAGGAGACGTTTTCTCGATGAAAAAAAAATTGAGAAGAATCATCTCTTGCTAAACAGAAAATTGATCACATTGTTTGTGAAAACTGTGCATCTTGAGTGAGAATTAAGAAGGAATAACTAAGAAAAATGAAGCGCTTAAGGGTTAAAACGGCCACAGACCATCATTTAGTCGACAAGTGGGGATGGAGAGAAAATAAGAACAATATTGCTAGGTCTTCAAATGATGAAGCTAATAATTACCCAATCATTTGGGAGAAGAACAAAGAAAGAGCGATATTTATGTACATAATCGAGATCTTACGTATAATACGTTCTTTGTGAACATTTAAAAATGTGTCATCTAATGATGACTGTACCAAAGAATGGGTCATATTCCATACGTGACAATGAAAATTTATTTACTAAATTCAGCAAATGAAACCCACCAAATGAATAGGTGTTTACCATCATGAAAAATTTAGAAAAAAGGTTTCTGAGCGCAAGTCCATAAGGCACGACCCAATTGCCTCAAAACGCGTTTAAGCAAGAATGGAACATTAATGTCACTGCAAAGGTGATCATGCATACCTTCAAGAGAAGTGTTTTTTGAATGTCCAGCGCAGAACATGTTTGAGGTGAGGGTACGAGTGGCGCTGATGTCCCCAGTGAAGGATGTAGTGTCCCGACGACACAAGCGATTGGATATCACAGGGAGCTGAACATCTGTCAGGACAGCCGTAAGAAGATCCGAACCGTCATAGCCCCAACCGGCAACCTGCAGCAATGTGCGATCAAAAAGGGATCTTTTAAAACGACGTCCATCCAGAAGACATTGTATTTAAGGGTGAAGAGGCATTTCACACTTTACCCATCCTTGTGTTCCATCCTGGAGATTTTCGTCAGAAATATCAATTTTTCTCGGGAGACATATCAACTGCACTCGCTCAGTCAGCACGGAAGGCGTTGTTAATTTCAGTAGAGCAATATCTGAGTCATAGTTTTGTATGCTGTAATCCTTATGGTGGAATATGTGAGACACCTATAAAGAAATTGCGGCAATTTCCATCATCCGGAAATGAATGAAAGTACAAGAATTTTCTGTTTATTGAACCTGTCTGATCTGCACGTATTCATCGTCTTCAACATTAGCTCGATGCTGTTTCCCAAGGTAAACCAATAGGTCTTCCTGGGTCCGAGGTCTATCGGTACCCTTAATAGTGACACAGTGGGCCGCTGTGAGTACCCATTGCTCTCGAATGAGGGCCCCTCCACAAACGATATCCTCTTCATAAGCGTCATGAATGGCTACCTGCCATGGCCATTCTCCTATCTGTGATGGCTTTCCTCCTTTGGACAATGTCACTTGATAATTCTTTCTCCCGCATACTAGATGAAGGATAGTACGACAGTACATTTTCAAATACCAATCATTTGCATCAGCTAAACATGGAATAAGGTGATTGGAAAATCGACCTGGCTCACAAAACGGTGTGTTTCCGGTCCATTCTCCATCCTGCGTGCATCTGCGAATTTCGGGTCCCCTTAGAATGTAGTATTTATTGCACGTGTATCTGACAACACTCCCGAATTCATATTTGCCATCTTGAATGCATTTTGTGTCCTTTCCATCACCAATCATTTCCGAAGTAGTCGGACAAGATGCAATATCTATAGATCCATGCGTCGGTGTGCTTAATTGCCCACATCCTTTTGTACTACCTGTAGGCGGATGAAATGACCAGAACTGCGGTTATGACGAAATATACCAGGGTGGGATGTGTAGAAAACAATTTGGAAAACTTTAGAACTATTGGTTGCTGTTTTGTAAATGTGTTATCCCATTGCATTGTTAGTTTTTGTCATGCAAATCTTGTGGATTTTTGGATTCAGTTCAGGATGCAAGCATAGCTTGTCATTTGACCAGGTCTTTGTATTGTTGGAAAGATATGACCCACTTTCATTATTACTTTACATACCAAAGTAGAAATCTGGTACTGATGAAGATGCTATTGTAGTGGTGTTTTGGATGTATGGCTGGCAGCACAGTTCTCCATTTCGACAGTTGTCCACATGTGAAAGAGTCAAGGTCCCTGATGTACAGAGAGATATCAGTAAGATGTTGATGCACTGGTGAGGACATTCACGAGGGCAGGCTTTTAAGGAACCTGAATCCAAGTCCTTGAATTCTGTTCCATTATTGCACTTCCCATAAATGTTCCTTAGGAATTTCTGGTTGAGTACTAGCCATGCCATTTTACAATCGCACAGGATGGGATTGTCTGGAATAGAAGAATAGGAATGAGTGGAAACATGTTGAAGAAGGAATTATGGAAGATACTTATGGTGTGTAATAACGAGACACCGTAAAACTGACAGACTACAGTAAGATCGCACAGGATGGGATTGTCTGGAATAGAAGAATAGGAATGAGTGGAAACATGTTGAAGAAGGAATTATGGAAGATACTTATGGTGTGTAATAACGAGACACCGTAAAACTGACAGACTACAGTAAGTACTCCAACTCCCGTTGAGAGGATCTCCAACATCGGGCGGAAGATCTCTTCGGACAATTCCGTGATTTGATTTCCGCTGAGAAAAACCATCGTATCAGGTCCGAAACCTGAAAATGAAATTCATAGCCTCGTGCGAAAAATAGCTTGAGACTCCTGGGCTTCTTGAGAGTATGTTAGTTGGTGCCTGAGGCTATTACTGTTAGTTTCATCGACGATATAACCCTCCTGCAGCAGAAAAAGGAGTCATCACATCACATACAAGCATCACGTGAACCTAAACTGATTACTACGCTACTCCAGTACTGATTTCTCTACGTTTCGTTGCATCTAGTCTGACCGTGCACAAAACTTTTATTCAATCCTGAGGCGTGTATTGTACAGTATGTATCTCTCTTCACGGTTTATTGCTTCGTGTTACATTTACATTGATTTGATGCGGGGACGGTCACCTTTCATACTCCCGCATGGGGTCAGCATTGAGTCAATGCTGCTCTATTCACGTTTAAAGTTCAACATTATATGTCCTTGATGCTCATCAATCCGTGCATGCACATAAATTGCAATATTCACGAGCTTTTTATGTTGGCCTCTGGGTTGACCGTAGCATGGAATTAACCTTCATGGATAAAAAATCTCCAGCGTGTTACGACCATTCTCATTAGAACAATGAGACAATGCTGATTCAATGTAGCAATGTTGCCGAGCAATAGATTGCCGTTCAAATGCAACTAGGTTTCACGTGATGTTTCCTCGAAGTTCGGGAACTACGTCTATCACCGTGTTCCTGCACTTGGCTGGGTGAATTTTCATACATTCACGATAGGTTCATGTTAGATTCAAATTGCCAATTCACAAAATCCACATTTTTCATTTTGGGTAAAGGCACCAGTTTGTGGACAGGTTAAAGAAATTTTCCTCTTGAAAATTGTGTTACAGTCGTTGGGGTAATCGAGAAACCGCTTGATTGGTTTCGGTGGGAAGGCACTTACCATAGTTTGATGCCCACACACTTAAATGAAATGTTAAACATGTTCTTTTCAACATACGCAATTTGAATGGATATGTGTTGATTTGCACGTGGTTCAAGTTTGTGGACATCCATGGACCTAGGTTGTGGAAACCAATTTTTGTCGACAATTATGAATTATTTTATGAAATGGCAAAAACGCAAAACTGTGCACAAATAGGTGCCGTCCGCAAACTGGTGAGTCTACCCTACTCATTGTCCGAAAAAAGCACAGCGCCAAAAAATTGAGCGATCTTGATGAAACTTGTTACACCAGCTCATACTTGCATACCGTGGACTTCAATTGAATGTCAAATGAGTGGTTTGAGTACTGCTGGAGATCTCATCTTGACACTGCTTCCGAGTTAGACAATCAACGGTCTTATAAGGATGCGGCTTCAGGGAAGGAAAAAAGGAAATTGACGCGACCCTCCTCGCCAATATAACCACATTTTGGAATTTTCTCCGAATTGCTCCATCTCACGATCTCGAATCATTCTTCGATTTTTCTACGCATCTTCAGTAGTTTTTTCTGCCAGATTTCGTCAGGGAAGTGCATATAGGTATTCGTTTCGGGCGATTAGTGTGAGCCTGAGCCACTATTGAAATTGGATGATTTATAGCACTTTTTCCATCTATATGCATCTTACACACATGAAACTCGAATGAATTACATAGTACGCTTGTAAAGGCAAATGTGCAACATTTATTCAGTCACTCATCTCTTTCATGATCTTTTTTTTGACAATGTGTACATAATCCTTTTTTCCCGACGGGCCAACCGTCGGAGGGCCGGCGTATGTCATTATAAGAAAATTTGGAGGCTTTCAATGTACCATGAACAGGGATATTCAGCGTTCGAAACTTTTTCCATGAAGTGGTAAAGCTGCATAGATCTCAAGAAATTGTCATTTTTATAACAAGTTCATTTTAGCATCAGGAGCTTTGGGGAGAGTTTTTCTCATGCATAAGATTTTGGAAGCCTGATACTTATCGATGACTTCAGGGTGACAGCAGTAATTGCAAAATCAGGAATCATGAATGTTTGACTTTACGTTTAATTTGTTTCATCTGCGAAGAGAAAAATAATTTCATTTAGTCATACAATGTCGCCTTATTTGATAGAAAAACGCAGGTAAGTTTACTTATCGGCTCCCACGTGGATTCTATCCATAACGCACTAGTCTGGAAGAATGTTCAAGGAAAATGAAACTTTTCGGGATTCGATGGGGAACGTCGATGCAATAATGGTCGGTCAGCAATGTCGGTTTGGCCTTCAAAGCATCGTAAAAAAAACCCTATGGGTATAATCTTTTTACCAATATTCATGAGGTTGATGATGCAGTCGATTCTATAACCCACGGTTATCGAGTCAGATGGGGAGATCATACCTGTGATGGCTCCTGGCTCCAGTCTGGAGATGTTGTTGAACTCGAAGATTACAATTTTCAAGGTGTTGCTCTGGAATTGCAGGAAACCGCTTGGAAGAGTGGGACCAAGCATGACTCCTTGGCACCAAAGCTTCTCCAGTTTCTTCAAGCCATTGACTATGGCAGATGGAAACTGGACTAAGGGATTGAGACCTGAACGGAATGGAAAGACAGATAATTAAAATGCTGAAAAGAAGCAATGTCAGCATCGCATATTTAGGGTGAGTAATACCTAGTAAAGTCGTTTTAGTTGTTTTCCTTCATCAATTGTTTTAAACGAGTGACTAATTAGGAAATAAAAATAAATTTTGGGTTTACTTAAAAATTTTGATAGCCTTGTGATATGTTAGAGGAATTTTGAATTATTGCGAACGATGTCAATTCGCCATTCACTATAGTATTATATTTCCATTGAGAAGGGGCTCTTTTCATCTACTTTAGAATTGCCAAGGGGGCTCGTTGTGTCGGTTGTAATAATATTATAATTATGATATTATGTATTAATAATTATGTATTTAATTATTTATTAATGTAATTAATGATGCAATAATATTATTATGTAATTGTAATAGGGTTTGTAAATTATACCCACCCTATCCTGTTAAAACATTACCTCCAACTACAATAGCGGGATTAAAAGACAACGAGGAGAAGGCCATGTGACATGGCCCGTTTCTTGTATATGGTGTTATGGGTCAATTCTTCACTGGGTTTAATCACATTCTCAGAGCGGAAGCTTCTTTCGTTTGTGAAATAGAAGTCGCTTTGATATTATGCAAGGTGCCGAGTGAAACGAGGAATCAAGTTGGACAGACGTTCGCCTCGAGGAACAAAGTATTTAGGCAGGTGGTGCAAGATCTGTTGGGGTCTATTTGACCCAAAACACTCATTAAACCTGATTTAGCTTCGATGTATTTCATAGAAAAAATCTGAATTTTTAAAATACTTTTCCTAACTTTTCGAATATATTGACGACCTCAAAGCCAAACTCATTTCCATGAAGCATACTGAAGTATTTGTGATACCCCCTCCTGTTATGCTTGGGTCTATTTGACCCGATTGCAATGCTAGTGCATTTTATCATGGGTTACACCATCTTGAACTTTCTTGGAACAAGCTTCCAGAGCACTTGCCGTTAAGATATGTAGTGATTCTCAAAGTCAAGCGTTCTGCCAGTTTTGGGAAAGTGCGGATTTTATCTGGTTTAGGCTACGCGAGCCCATCCGGGTCGCCGCGTGAATTCTTGTCACATTACACCCTCTTGGAGCATTTTCTTCGCCCTGTCCTTTTGTTGCTGCGTTAGCTTTGGCATATCACTCATGTTTTTCAGAGACGGTATGAAATATACGATAGAATCAGCCCTTTTTTGTCTATGGAAATCTGAACTCAACATATGACATGGAGAAAACCTAATTGGACGTATTCCTGACGTGACACATGCACAGCACTCAACGGTTAGCGACCAAATACTAATGATGTTCAAGAGGTATTGACTTGTTCAGCAAAATACATATATAATGCCATTACAACTCTTAATTCGCGGCCGAGCCCTACATTACCTTGTCTCGTTTATTTTGGGTGCCAGTATATTATTATTTGTTGAACACCTCGGACTACAGTGCATATGTGCTGTGGACTGCAATAAATCTGGGATGGCACTAGAACAAGCTCTTCAAAAAAATAATTGTTCTTAGTAGAATTGGACATGCAGTTCTTTCGCAGATTGCTGAAGACAAAATCATATTTTCCACGACCGTCCTCTGCTACCGGCGTCATTTCTGCGTGACTGTCTAGACTATGCAATGACTCGAGCTCCTTTGCTGGACTGAGTGCAGCAAAAAGATACAGCCAAAACATACAGCAAAAAAGAGCCGGATGTACTTTTTGTCTCTCCGCATATGACAACAAAACAAGCATCCACTATATGTCGCATGGAAAAAATATTTTCAAATTGGGCACAAGTACGTTTTATGTGCCTTGCAAAACAAATCAATAAAGGTTCGTCGCAATTGACAATTTCGGAGATCAGTTTTTGGAGCAAAATTTTGGAATTAACTCAGTGTTAACAATAATTAGGTATGCAAATATAGCTAATAAAATAATGAACCCATGTGTGATCGATCCTTTTGTTATAAGAAGTCACGAAGCAGCAAAAAACTTAAACGAATTCCTATTTAATCTATAGGAAACATATATCGGGTCAGGGGTGACTCAAACGTAAATGGTGTACTTAAAATGGGAACAGAATTGGATGTTGAAGTGACTCCCATCACGATGGGGTCGTCGGAAACAAGCGGCTGCAACACGTCAATTCCATCCCCAATTTGTCTCGAAGGCGGTGATGAATTAATCGCAGGTAATAGAACATTCCAATAATAAGGTACTGTCAAAGGTTACAATTAGGGCTGTACCGATGTATCGGCTAACATCGGTATCGGCTAACAACGATATCGGCCGCCGGTGTTGGACTATCGGCCACATCGGCCATCGGCAGGTTAGGAACCGGCCGGTGCCGCTGTTCAAAGATGAACGGGCTGAACGAGGAAAAATTTAAAAATACCACATGAACGGGACTAGGTCACCGATTCTCAACGTCGATAGGAAAAAATTAGGGCTATCGCAGCTCATCCATCGATATATTGATGTCATTTTCGATAGTTGAGGTTGAGATAATAGGCTTTATCACCGTCGTGAAGGTCACACCTCTCCCTCCAACTCCTCGAATCACAAGCGACAAATTATGGAAGGCGGATATAGGTCCGCGCCCCGATCGAGGCAAGAAATGGCGGAAACGAGGCAGAAACCTGATCCTGATCGCAGTGAGAAAAGACTGAATCCGCTGACTACCCCACCCCCCACCAGCATCGATGCACTATCGATGTTTCAGGTCGACACGTGTGTATGCGATAAACCCAGCGTGGAAGTAATAATAAAATTGCACATGCATTCATATGTCTATTTGACTTTTAAAAAAAATTTATCGAATGCTTTTTCACTGTTTCTCTACACGTCACGATAGGCACCGGCACCGACCAGTACAGTCCTAATTACAATGCATTTACAACACCAGATATAAAATACTCACCAATGTCGAATACCCTCAAATTGGGTGTTTCCCATCCATCGAACTCTATATTCGTGATGTTATTGGTGGCAAGACGTAGTATTTCGAGGCTGTCGCTCTTGAAGGTCGGGATGGAGACCAATGAGTTTTTGTCGAGTTGGAGTTGTCTCAATTTGGGAGTCGTCCGTCCATCGAACTCTATGCTCGTGATCTTATTCTCATGAAGACCGAGAGTTTCTAAGCTGTCGCTCTTGAAGACCGGGACAGAGGTCAACAAATTCTCTCCGAGCCATAGTTCTTTCAATCTGGGTGTCTCCCATCGGTCGAACTCTATACTCGTTATCTGATTGCTTTGAAAATTGAGTATTTCTAGACTCTCGCTCTTGAAAGCCGGTAAAAGGGTCAACAAATTATTTGCGAGCCATACTTCTTTCAATCTGGGTGTCTCCCATCGGTCGAACTCTATTCTCGTGATCTGATTGTTTTCAAGACCTAGTAATTCTAGGCTGTCGCTCTTGAAGGGCGGGATGGACTTCAACTTATTGTTCATGACGTAGATTCTTCTCAATCTAGGAGTCGTCCGTCCATCGAACTCCACACTCGTGATGTTATTGTTGTAAAGAATGAGGTCTTCCAGGCTGTCGCTCTCGATTGCTGGTATAGAGATCAACAAATTGTTGTGAAGCTGGAGTGCTCTCAAGCGGTGAAATTCACGAAGTTTATGAAAGGGAAAATCTTCCAGCCGACAGTGAGAAATTTGCAAACCCTCCAGCTGATGTCGCAAAGGTGATGAGGCTGATAGGTGGATTTTCTTTACTGCACTCCTTTGAATCTGTATTACTTGGATTGCAACACTCTGGAAGGTTTCTTCTGTTAGCTCCGATAGTGCTGCATTGTCCTGGATGAGGAATAACCTGCAAAGTGAAAAAGTGAGATGGATATATTGGGTGGCCCAAAAAGTCCTCAAACTACGTGCGTCTGCAGACGGAACACCTTGGGAAGCATTGTCTTCACCTTTTCAATGTGTCATGCCCTATATATGTAGGTGGTTTCAGGAAAATATAAATGAAATTCCTTGCTCTGACCATGATTAACACGTTGACGACCAGCCTATATTTGCTTGTCCGCCGCGTGGGACCACGCGCTTTTTTTTTGTCAAAAAATGCGTCCTGCCATCAGGACGCATGGTCCCAGAAAACATTTTTTTTGCCGAGTTTTTTTAAAATGTTGATTTTTTTGGAATTTTTATCAGTAATTACGAAATCATAATCTTCTGGAACGTTCCCAACAGTTCCAGAGAGTATCTGCGCACAAGACGTTTCTTGGAACCTGCATCCTGCCATCAGGACGCATTGTCGCCAACGTGCTAAGAGTTCTTTCCGTACAAGTCGTCAAATGCACAAGTGTGTCAGTTGCGTTTGCCAGTGTGCTGCCTCGGCCCGCGTTCCAAGGAGGAAACATCCACGTAGGATGCATCAAACATTTGTTTAATGGAGGTCAGGCACGTTTCCTTGCACATTTGCTCCTTTGACATAGCGCAGGAGAAAAATCGTTACTCACGTAGTTTACTACCAATTTCAATATTTTTGTCCCATTACTTGAAAACATTGCATGTTAAGAACTATACATTTCCTGTCGATAGCGCATATGTTTCACTGTCTGCAGGTGTGCTGCGTTCGGGACATTTTTTGGGCCACCCTGTATTTCCCATTATGTTATCCTTAGGAAATACAGGGTGGCGCAGTCAAAAGAAACCCGGAACGAGGCTAGCAAGACGCGGTGCGATAACGTGGGTCGCTCTCAGACAATGGGCTGGTCGCGTATGACATTTTTGTTGAAGTTTTTACTTGCGGGGAACCTTAAAGGAAAAGTGTACCAGAAAAATCCATGAACAAATGAGCAACTAAAGGGCAACATTACAGCTACAATTACCGCCATTTCTGAGAAAGAACTGTTATGCATTTCGTTGAATATGCTGCACGGGGTTAAGACGTGCACTTCCACAGAGGGTCAGCACTTCCAGCACATCTTGTAATGTTGTCATCCAAACATTATGCCCTGTATACGAACTGTAGGTACTCTCATCATAAATAATAATAAAAACAATTGACATATATTCTTCATACAGACATATGCGCAGGGCCTCTTTTGGATGGGCCATCCTGTATGATGATGGGGCAAAACGGGACAGTTCAGGAAAACTGCCAAAATTTAGTACCAAGGAGTTGGCGTAGCATATTGCGGATTGGTATGCAGTATCTTTCATGACTTACCTACTACTAGGATTCAACTTCATCGCAAAATCATCGACTGTTTTTTCCCCCAACAATTCTAAAAGTTGTTGTCCAACACCCCGTTCTGCCCCACCCCTGGACAAAATGGGTTGCCTTTGCAGGGCAAAACGGGGTGCTCCTCCAGAAAGAGTTTTACAATGTGTTTATTCATAATGCATACCTATTTAAACAGGTGACAGAACAGATACATCAATTACATATCTAAAAATAGAAATATAACTATTATGCACGTGTTTTCCTGTGTCTTCATTATATGCCTATTTATTAAGTTCACAGAACAGAGGCCACAACGACCCAAACAGCATGTTTATGTTAATTTTACGTAAACTGAATGTAAATTTTTTGTCAATTTTATATCATTTTTACCCAAACCATTGTGAAGATAATGCCAACATGTTTGCATAAATGTCACCTCTGTGATACGTAAATGGTGATATAAAATTAACTTAAATTTTATGTAAAATTGACTTGCCCGTTTGCATTCCTAACAGTATTTATACGATGATTTTACGTAAGATTTATGTTAATTTCCCCCCTAGCATCCATGTGTCTTTAACGAACCAATCAGCACCTTTGAAAAGAATTGATCTGTATCTCCCATTCCTTTCCATACTTCAGAACTCAAGGGTGGTTGG